CCCTTTTACCCCGCCACCCCTTGTCCTGTCACTCCCTGTCATTGTGAAAAGTCCCCCCCCAGCTTTCTTGTAGCCCCCCAGGCACTGGAAGGGGCTCTGAGGTCTCCCCGGAGCTTCCCTTCTCCAGGCTGAACCCCCCAACTCCCCCAGCCTGTCCCCAGGGCAGAGGGGCTCCAGCCCTCGGAGCATCTCCGGGGCCTCCTCTGGACTCGCTCCAACAGCTCCGTGTCCTCCTGCTGTTGGGGCCCAGAGCTGGAGCAGAACTGCAGGGGGGTCTCCCCAGAGCGGAGCAGAGGGGCAGAATCCCCTCCCTCGCTCCCCTGGCCACACTTCTCTGGATACAGCCCAGGATACGGTTGGCTTTCTGGGCTGCCAGCGCACACGGCCGGCTCATGGCCAGCTTTCCATCCCCCAGTACCCCCAAGTCCTTCTCCTCAGGGCTGTTCCAAATCCTTTCTCCACCCAGCCTGGCCTGGTGCTTAGGATTGCTCTGACTCATGTGCAGGACCAAAATGCATCCCATGTTTCCTTAGAGAAGAGGAACTGAGGGAGCTGTGTCCACAAAGTTCTGTTCTGACCTCTCTTCCCAATGGTTGCTCCTCACCCTTTTGCAGCCTCAGCAGCGGTGTATTTTTTCCAAGCAGTTTACAGCACTTTCCAGGCCTGATGGTGCAAAGCCGTCGCATTCACACCCAGTGGTTGCTCCTCAAACTCATGGTCTTCTTTCACACGTTGGAGCTATCGCTCCTCACTGCCGCCAAGGCCGCTTTCCTCAGGATCAATGAGCAACCAGCTTTGTCAATAACGCCGTAAGTCAGAAGGCAAATACTGCGCTTACACGGCAACACCTGCTGTGGTTAATGATTTGGCATTGTTCAATGAAAAGGACCTGTGAGCGAGGTTGACCTTCGGTGTGAAATAATGAGCAGCACGTTAATTCTGTTTATTGAGCGGATTCGTGGACACAAATGCACGGACCGGCCTCAGAGCTGACAGCCTGCTGCTGCTAAGGGCGGCGTGAGACGGGTGCAGTTGAGGGGTGAAAGTCCTGTGCTCCCAGTCCTGACTGGGCTTGCCCAAATCGCAGGAAGCTCCGAAGTTTTGCACTGGAACTTGGAGAGCTTCAGCAGCCCAGTTTGGTGTTTAACTGGTCTCAGCAGATGGATGGTGTTTCTAGCTCTGAACATAAATCCCTCTTGCTGTAACATAGCTCGGTACATTCTTGTTTTACATCAATGGATGGAATATTTTCTCCTTCCAAGCAGCTGCCTTATGTTTTTGTTTCCCTCTTTCATTGTCTGTCCTTCAGACTAACTCCCATTTCTTCCAGCTTTCCTTGAAAGGTTAAACTTCCTGGAATTTTTCCCTGCTGCCATCCAGGCTGTTTTCAGCAGATCCACCTCTTCCTTGGAACACAGTCCCTGGACCGTACCCACTGTGCGCTTGGAGTTGAAGGGAGTGGAGGGGTTCCCATGTGCGCACGTGTGTACATACCCCTGCCTGTTTCCCTTTTTGCTGCCGATTTCTCACCTCGTTCTGTGCGACGTTGTTTGTGCTTAGAGCTGGGCTTCACCCTGCAGGCTGCGGTGATCAGAAGCCTTGGCACCTCGTCCAGCTATCAGCCTGAAACTCCCGAGGGGAGGGAGGTTTCTGCGGAGGGAGCTTTGTCTGACCCCTGCAAGACCTCTGCCGTAATATGTGGAGAGAGCTAAGGTTGTGTTGCTGTAAAACATGCCAGATCATCTGTCCTACCTGTAGCCTTGCGTGCTTCTCCTTTTGCGCTGCAGACTGGTTCTTCTTGGATCATTCTGCTACTTCATGCTGAGCTCCTTGAGTGCACATCCGGTCGTCAAGCACGCGTGTATGCTTCCCTATGCTGTCCTCTACCTGCATTCGCCATCTGGCCTTGTTATCAAAGAATCATACACAGAGCATCACTGGGGCCTCCTCTGGACTCGCTCCAACAGCTCCGTGTCCTCCTGCTGTTGGGGCCCAGAGCTGGAGCAGAACTGCAGGGGGGTCTCCCCAGAGCGGAGCAGAGGGGCAGAATCCCCTCCCTCGCCCCCCTGGCCACGCTGCTCTGGATCCAGCCCGGGATGGGGTTGGCTTTCTGGGCTGCCAGCGCACACGGCCGGCTCCTGGCCAGCTTTTCATCTCCCAGCACCCCAAGTCCTTCTCCTCAGGGCTGTTCGCAATCCGTTCTCTGCTCAGCCTGGCCTGGTGCTGGGACTGCCCTGACCCATCTGCAGGTGTAAAAGGTTTGTGAGTTTGCTGTTCGGCTGAGCTCTCATGTATGGCAAGGCAGAGGCTGTCTATAGCTTTTCATAAACCAGGTTTTACAGAAAATACATTTCAGGATGTTTATTGTGGTTTCCCCTTTTCTAGTCTTTATATTTACACTCATGAGTTGGATTTTTTTCTGACATACTGAAACTGGACTGCCAGTTAAAATTAAAAGTGAAGCGGTAGCACGTGGCATGAAGAAAAGACTAGAACGTTCTCTCAGTCTGAATGGATGAACAGCTTTTAAGTTTGGGTTTCAATTACTCTGTTCAGTGGTACAATGAGGGAAACTTAGACTGTTACCCTTTCCATTTTGGCTTTAGCTGTGTCACTTTAGTGCATCCTAGGAGCTTCTGTTCCCTGCATCGGAACTGTTGGGGGTAACAGCGTGTTAGAATGGAGCAGAGCTGGGTGTAAGGAGCACGTGGTTTCGCTGCCGCCTGCTCAGATCTCCCCCCGGGCGGCTGGGATAGACATCAGCAACCGTGTCTTGTGATGGATAGGGAATTCAGGAGAGTGCAATAATAAAGATGTCTTTGTCCCAGTAAGATCTTTTGCTTTCTTCGTCTCTTGTTCCAACACTAAACATGGACAGTTTTGCCTGTTCTCGAGGATTTATGGAAAGGGTGGAGGGCTGTGTTATGTGAAATGTGTGAGGCTGAGCAATGGAGGTCAAGGTTATGATCAGATCTGTAAATTCTTCCTTTATTTTGGAAACACCTGCTTATCCTGCGGCACCTGTGAGCTGCAGCTGGTAATGTTTTCGGGCTGGAAGCTGAGGTTGGGAAGGTTCTCATCTGGGGTAGGTTCCAGAGGGGATCCAGTATTAGATGCACATTCAGTTACCGTCTAAGAATTGGTCATGAAGCCTCAAGCTGGTGTTCAAGAAAATCCCAGAAGACCGATTTCGTCAGTTCTCAGATGTTAAAACTGGGAACACTCGGCAGCCAATGATTGGCTTTGTGGGAGAGCAGTAACACTTTCAAGGGAAACCTCTGCAATTTATCTTTTTTCTTGTGAAACATAGAAAGGAGAGCTCCAAAATTAAACCTATCATAGAATTGTTTAGGCTGGAAAAGACCCTTAAGGTCACCATTCCAGCCATTAAACCAGCCAAGCCCAGCACTGCCCCATGTCCCTGAGCCCCACAGCCCCACGGCTCTGAAACCCCTCCTGGGGTGGGGACTCCCCCTCCCTGGGCAGCCCCTTCCAACCCTGACAGTCCTTTCCGGGAACGGATTTCCCTGATATCCAATCTAACCCTTCCCTGGCACAACCTGAGGCCGTTCCCTCTTGTCCCATCACCTGTCCCTGGGGAGAAGAGACCGACCCCCCTCTCTGCACCCCTTTCAGGGGGCTGTAGGCAGCGATAAGGTCTGCCCTGAGCCTCCTCTTCTGCAGAACTCTGTAACTGGGTAATTTGTAAAGAGGCATCTGTAATTATTTTGGGCAGACTGAAGACTGAGGGGGGTGCAGGAAGTGTGACACAGCCGTCAAGTGCCCGAGTCGGTGAGATGCTGCCCCTTGCCTGGTAAAGGGCTGTCGCTGGCGCTGGGTTCCTGGTCCTTCGTGCCGCTGTCGGTGGTTTTACAGCGGGCGTAGGTGCAGACAGGGGGCTGTTTCTCACTGGGATGGGTCCGTGCTGTGCTGCCCGCACTTGTGCATCTTCCCAGTAGGTAAACAGACTCTGCTAAGCCATCCTTTCTGTTTAGAAATTCCGGGTAATTCAGGGTAAGTGGCAGAAGGAAACGCTGCTCTTCATCTTCAGTTGCAAGTACTGTAGCCCTGGCATCACATGGGTCACCACCTTGGTGAAGGACTCGAGGAACTGCTGATTAAATGGGGAACAACGTGAAGTGCTGCTCGGGGAAAAAATGCTTTTGCAAATTCTGTTTTGATCCAATTGTGCTGAATTGCCTAACAACCAGTTCTGTCCTTCCTGGAGCTGGAAACTGCTGGGTTTATCGGTGCAATCAGTTGGTTTGAAAATCCTCCTACAGACATTAGTTTTCTATGCAATCTTTTGGCAGAAACTGTATTTGCTACATGCTCCCCATGTTTTGGGGGATGTCGATATTCAGTAAACGCTGTGAACTTGAACATACACTGACTCGTACAAGTGTTAAGTGCAGATGTCAGTGTACGATGGCTTGTGAGGAGAATAAAACAGGTACTAAAGCACACACCACGATTCACCCTGTGTGAGTTGTTTCTTTCTGTGTTTTTTAGGTCTTGCAGAGTCAACGTCTACTTTCCCACAGATGAGCAATCTGGATTGCACTTCACCAAGCGCCCTCTCTGAAGATGCAGTTGAAATTGTTGGTGAAGGTATTTCAAACCCAAAGTTACCTCCTGTATCTCATTGTGTTATTAAAATGAGGTGAAATTTTTTCATAGAAAAGGGAAAAGAAGTAGGTCCCTCACAACATTTTAGATTGTGAACAATCTCCTGTTCAAGCAGGAGAGGTGCCCGGAGGTTTGGCAGCTACTGGACATGCTGTTCCATTCCAACAGCAGGGAATGGCAGCAAATGATGCAGGTTAGGTCTTGGTTCTAGCCCAGTGTGCGCTCAGGGATGTGAATCCATCCTGCTCGGTAGGATAACTTCTAAGGAGGGACTTTTCCCAAGGGCAGGAAGTGACAGGACAAGGGGTGACGGGTTTAAATGGAAAGAGGGAGATGGAGATGGGCCATCAGGAAGGAATTCTTCCCGCAGAGGGTGGGAGCACTGGGACAGGTTCCCAGAGAAGCTGTGGATGCCCCATCCCTGGGAGTGTCCAAGGCCAGGCTGGATGAGGCTTGGAGCACCCTGGGCTATGGAAGGTGTCCCTGCCCATGGCAGGGGGTGGGGCTGGGTGGGCTTTGAGGTCCTTTCCAGCCCAAACTGCTCTGTGATAATAAGGTGAGAGTACCTGTGGGAAATTGGCACTAACCGTGCAATGGTAATGTTTTTATCTTCTGTAATTACTTCTGGGTTTCTATGTTTTTCCTGAGTTCTGCTGAATCACATGGTTATTTTGGTGAGGGCACAACGTGCCTTTCAGGTGTTTTTGGCAGTCCTCCTTCTGCACGAAAATGCAGCCAGTCCATGACGAATGGAGACGACCCAGCTGTCAGAGAGGAGACTGGGCCACCCTCAGGGGTCTGTGGGAGAAGCATCCAGCAGGACGGTGCTTCCCATCTCCATGCTGAGAATGAAAGCGAGGTAAGAATTCCGGAACGGTCTGGCTGTGTGCTGCTGTGAGCGTACAGCCGCACGCAGCGCGGCGGTCTGCGTGTGGCAGCAAGCAGGAGTTTGGTTAGAACAGACTAGCTGGCAGGGCCGGTGACTTGCAGCAGCTTGCAAGTCCTTGTATTTATGTCACCTGTTGAGTTCCGTTAAAAGGGAAAGGCTGGAGTAGCAATCCGTTGACATCTGGTTGGCTGCATGCAGGTTTGTGCTCTGACTGCCCGTTGAACCCTGTTGGGAATGAGAGCCCCGTCCGTTCTGATGTTGGCAGGGTGCTCTATCAACCCTAAACTCGAAGTTTCATGTAATTCAGTCTTATTTTTCTTACAAGTGGTCAGTAAAAATTGGGTTACATTTTCTCAGCGTGGTGACTCCCTGCAGGTGGTTCGTGCAGTTTAAATAAGACAGGAACGTGGTGTCATTTACTGACTGGGAACAACGTAGGAAAGAGATTTGACCTTGGCATAGCCCATGGGAATCTTGTGTTCAGTGCAAATGGCACCGGCCACCGATGCTGTTGATGGCAAAGTGAGCGGCGTAAAGGCCCTGTGATACTTTGGCTCCAAAACAGATGGCACAGGGATCTCTGACCAGCGTTCAGACCCACCAATCTGTGCCAGTAGTTCCGTGGCTGATCCTCAGAGCCCCTTTCGAGGCAGTGCTGGAATCGGAGAAGGACACCGAACCGCATTTTGGCTTTCCTGGATGAATTATTAACAGTTAGACCTTAAAATGTTTGTTGTGGAAGCTTTTCTTCTTTGTGTAAGTAGCTGTGGACTTCCTGGGGATGCAGGGAGTGCAGAAAAGTCGTTTCCTGCCCAACTCTGTAGGCCAGTGGGTTGAGGCTGAGGTGTTTTAAGAACAGTTTGAGTGTCTGCCCCGTCGCAAGGTTTCACGAGGCGTGGTGCCGCCTTGTTGAGCCCACTGCCATCTGTTACCGCGGGGAGCAAGACTGAAGGAAGTAGTGATACGAATCCTAAACAACTGGAAATGCAAATCACAAGTCTTTCTCAAAGCACTTAATGCCTTAAGGTGACTAAAACTTTAGTGCATGCTAAATAGGATCTGAATATTCTGATTTCTGCTGAAGCCATGACTCCTCGGAGGGATCAAATTCAAAGGAGGAGATGGAGGAATGTATTAAATGCCGCTGCGTTTCCGTGAGGAACTGTGCATGTCTCAAACACGTAAGAGCGTGGGGTCAGAGCACACTGGTGAAGACCACTGTTTAAATCCTGGTGTGTCTGGGTGTGAGCGAGTTTCCCAGACTGTGCACCCGGGGGGTGAAATTCAAGGAAGCTGCACAGCTGCCGAGGAGTGGGAGGCCTTCTCTGGTAAACCTCAGTTCTCCAACTCTTCGGCCATGTTAGAGTAAGTGATTACTTCCTTTGAACGTTTTTAACCTGGAATGTTTCATTTTGCCAGCAGGATGGCCTAGCATTTAGACAGCACCCATTCGGCTCTTTTCAGGACTGGAGTTAATATTTATGTGACTAATTCCCTTTTACTCTGTAGAATAATGTTGAAAGTAGTAACATTCCGTGCTTACCGTAGCCAGTATGAAGAACTGGGTGACAAGGTATTGGGTCACTGGTGCATCACGTTATGTTCTGTATTTTAATGGGCGTGTGTACTTTTGCAGGTTAAAGTGTCCATGGCAAAATCTGCCCAGGAGAAGGTGAGGTGGAAGAAAAAAGAGGAAAAGGAACCCGGTCATAAAGAATGCCAGGAAAGCCAAGACACCCAAGAAAAGGAAGGCAGCCCTTGGGAGGGACTTACACTGGATGAACCAGAGAAAATGACAACAGAAAGTGAGGATTAATGTTTGTCTCAGATGAATAATGTACTGTTAAGTGCTGCTGAAATGGAAATTCTCTGGTAACTACCAGAAGTGACGACTGTGGGTGTGGCAGAGGTAGCACTGTAATTAATTGTATGCTGCAGTTTACCCTTCGGTCACTGCTGTCAGTCTTGTAATGCAGTGTGGCAGAGGTAGCACTGTAATTAAGTGTACACTGCAGTTTACCCTTCGGTCACCTGCTGTCAGTCTTGTAATGCTGGAGAACAAAGTGCTTCCGGGCCAAATTTAAAGATTCCAGTTCAGAAAATTTTCAAAAGACAAGCTAGGACTAAAAATACCAGCGTTTGCCTTTTTCTACTTTGCTGTTGTAGTTTGGACATTTCCTTCTGTTTTCTAGAGTTAAGTCTCTGTGGGGATATGTTAACATCGCCAAGAAACCTATCTATGTCGGTAGAAAACGTTGCCTCGAACCCTTCATTCAGAAGAACGTCCAGTTGGAAGAAGATGAAATGCTCAGCCGTGCTAGATTCTGGTGAGCTGATACCTAAACTACTTAGAAAGGCTGTTGAAATATTTGGATGTGTGGAACAGGGGAGTTCCTAAATACGGTCGGGATTGTTTGGATTGATACGTGCAGTGGAGAGTCCCGAGATGCTCTGGAAGAGCAGTACCCGGGGGCGGTGTGAAGGGGATTAGGATTCATCACTGCCCCCTTGAAAGGTTTTTTATCTGTGGTTTGCTGGGAAGATGTTGGACGCACGAGAGGGTTTTTATTGGCTTAGCAACTGAAATGATGTGCTAGTGGCAAATTGACTCTTCCAGGCCCTTCTCTCTCCAAGGAAAACATTCCTGTGTACGTTCTGTCACTGAGGTGCCTTGGAAGTGTGCGGCAGAAACCTGTTCAGAGTAGCTGGTGGTCCAAGGTCTTCAGAGTTTCTGAAGTGCCTCTGAGTTTTACTCCGCTGTGTTTCAGCGCGTTGTGCACCCGTTCTCATGCTGAACAACCCGCTCCGTCTGTGTTGGTGACTCGGAGCTGTTCGCAGCAGAATTCATTCACGTCAAGGAAACATGAAGTGCTGAAGGATGTAACAGGGGAGTCGGGCTGTTTGGAAACCCGGTCCCTTCGCAGCAGCAGCCTACATGCACCTCAGGCTCTTAGTATTTCCTTCCTGTGAAGGGGTGGTTTTCTTCAGATGCTGATGGTTGGTTGTTACGCTTCGCGACTTTGCAGATGAAATTTCTGCTGCCGCACGAGGACGCTATAAAGACCGGACCCCGTCGGTCACTCATAGCCCGGAAGTGATGGACCCCTCGGAACTGCAGCCCTTTCCAAAACCAGAGGCGGCGCTGGCAGAAGCCTTGACCCTCTTAGCTGATGATGACTGGTAGGTGTAAGCTTCTGTCCACACCCCGAATCCAATGTAGAAGGCCTTTGTTTTGATAACTTACTTTAAAAAAGCCCAGCAAAACAAACCGAATGTCAGAAATAGTAAGAAGGATTGCAAGAGATGTGTGAGAAAAACATAAAAAAGGTTTTTTCAGTCCAATCCAGATGAAACTGTGACTGCTGTGAGTTGAGGCTGAGCAGCTAACCTCTCGGAGACGCGTAGAGACGTCTGTTTAGGCGCCTTCCTGGAGAGGCCCCGCTAATACCGTCCCATGTGCTGTGGACTATAAGGGTTCACTGCGCTCTGACGGGGAAAACGGGGTTGCGGTGCTGCCCGCGCAGGTTGGGGCCGGACAGGCACCCTCTCGTTGCCAGCCGTGCAGGCTGTGGACGGGCGGCAGGCAAGAGCCGAGACCGGTACGTCGAGCCTCGCTTTGAAACAATTTCCGGCCTTACACGGCATCGCTTTATTGTGCAATCTGATTTGCTTGCTCTTTGGTCTCTTAGAATGCTGTGGTTTACTGTTTTCGTGAAAATCTGCAAATGTTTTGAATTTAAATGTCTTTCCCCTAGGGAGAAGAAGATCGAAGGTCTGAACTTTGTTAGATGCTTGTCTGCCTACCATGCGGCCGTCCTGACTGCAAAGCTACATGAAACGAGCCTGGCTGTGGCACAAGAGGTTCAATTTTACAATCAGAGTATTTCGCTGACCGCAAGCGTGTATATGTATTTTATGGCTCTGAGATACACTAAGTGCTGTGTTCATCTGGGGTTAGCTTTCTTCTGCTGGACGGGCTCAGACGGATGAGTCTGTCGTTCAGCGGGGCAGCTCATGCTTCAGATGCCGACAGTCGGGTTGACTTGATTGGCTGAGACTGAAACAGTTTCGGCTGTAACTTCGTAACGTTTTCATGTGTATGTATTTTAATTCTCACACGCTGTGGGTCAAGTCAGAAATGTGTTTCTCAGTTGCTTTTAATGTTACTTAAAACTTACAAAGGGAAACATTAAGCTTAACTTATTGAAAAGTCTTATTTTATAAACATTATTCATTGTTTGTTTGGGTTTTTCCTGTGTGCAGGTCAAGAATTTACGCTCAGGTGTTTCTCGAGCTGCTGTGGTCTGTTTAGGGGATTTGTTCACCCACCTGAAAAAGAGCATGGATCAAGAACTAGATAATACAGTAAAAGTCCTTTTGCACAAAGCTGGTGAATCCAACACATTTATAAGGGAAGAGGTAGACAAAGCACTGAAGGCTATGGTTAATAATGTGACTCCAGCACGTGCACTTTGTTCTCTTATAAATGGAGGGCAAAGGTAATTCTTACAAAGACTTTCTAAAGAAATAACTTGTGAATAGCTTACGTTTACCAAATGTGGTCTTTCAAAGCAAGTAAATCAAAGCAGAATAGGCAGAAAACTGAAAATGTAGTCAGTGAGCTCTGCAGAACGTCTACCCGGGACAACCTGTGTTGGCGTAAGAGTGAAATGCAACCCCGGTGCTCCTGCTCGTTCCGTAAGGCGTCGGCGCTTGGTGTACTTTGTGGCTGTTGTGCAAGACTTCAGTAGTGTTACTCGCTGTTTGTAGGAAAGGGCTGCTTTGCTTTGCCTGGTGAAGCTCGCACAGCACTCCACGTTCCTTTTGCTCCCCACGCGAGTGCCGGTCTGGCACTTCCTCAGCACTGCTTTGTGTTTAGAAAGAAGATTTACGACTCCCAGTTCTCTCGCCGCAGCTCTCGTGGTTGATTTCATGGTCTTCTAATAGTCTTTTCTCTCTGCATTTTGGTTGCCTTTACAGTGGTGCTGGCCTTTGTTTTCTTGGGTACCTCAGACACGACGAGCTCCCGTGTCTGGTTGCGTGTGTGGTTCTAACCTCTGGCTCACCTCAGTCTGTAGCAGGGTCTTCCCTGTCTTCACTTTCCCCGTTTAGTACCTTGGGTGTTTCTTTTGTACCCTCATTCACTGCGACAGCAGTACGCAGTCACGCCGTCAGGCTCTCCGCAACCTTACAGAGACCTGCTTGGACTTAGCCTGTAGCTGCCATCGCTTAGGTGACAGCTGACAGCGACATTGCTCGTAGCCGGTCCCTTCCTTGAAATATTTCGGGTTCTGCATGACACATCAGTCCCTACACTTTGTGCACAGCTACGAATTGTAGGAGTCAGTCTCGATTCAAAACGCTTTCTTTCCTGGGAAGTTGGTTGCTGTGGGATATGTGGATTCTGTCTCCGGAAGGTCAGGGAGAACCGTACTGCAGTTAGCTGAACTTTAGAAGGGAAGGCAGATGTCAGCCTGGGGGTGTGAACTCTTCATGAAACGCGCCTGCACAAGCTGGTTTTGTGAGTTTAGGGGCAGCAGGCAGTGACTGCACGCGGGTCGAAGTCGGAAGCCATGGTTTTGTAGGTACTCCCATCTTTTCTTCAGGGATCCCTGGCCAAGCAGTGCTCAGGATCCTGATTGGCTAAATGCCCTGTCCCCCTTTTCGGCGGCAGATGCAAACACACTGACCTGTCCTCAGGAGTTTTCTAGACCCCTCCGGTGGGTGAGCTCAGATGCGTTTTCGGACATCTGAGGCATCCCAGGTGTCTGAGCTGTGAGTGTGAAGACGGCGTTGGGGGCAGGGATGAACCCTTCCGCGGCTGAGGGGGTTCAGTCGAGGCAGCGCCCGAGCCGCGGGGC